CCGTGCTCCTGCTGTGCAGCCTGTGCCTGGCGATGTCTCTCCCGTCGCCCTTCACATTCCCTGCACTTGTCTCCTTTCCTTCATCCCCGGTTTTTCCTCCCTTGCTTTGTGGAACACCTTCTGTAGATGCTTGTTTAGGAAATGTGCATGGATACAGACTTTGAGATCTTGTATATTGAAGACTGTTATTGGTTATTGTTAGAGCTAGATATCCATCTTAGGTTACAGCCTTCCTTCAGAATTTTTCAGGGCTTGCTCCGCTGCTTTCTGGCTTCTGTTGATGCTGAGAGGGTGGATGCCATTCTGGTTCTCGATCTCTTATGTTACAGGGCTTTTTTTTTCCCTTCTAAAAAGTTTTTGGGAGGCCTTAAGGATATTCTCTATCCACAGGGTTCTGAAATCTAATCCTGTGTCTTGATGGGGACCCTGTTGTGCTGAGTGTTTATGGACCCATTCAGACTGATGATTTATTTCCCTCAGTTGTAAAACATTTCTGATACTATTATTGGGATAATTTTCTTCCTATCATTGTAATTTCTCTGTTTTGTCTTTTTTTGATATGGTTGGTTGTATACTGAAACACTTAGACTGATTCTTGATTTTTCTTATTCTCCCATTTTTGATCATCTGCCTTATTCTACATTTTAGATTTTATCTTCAACTTTTTTGTCCAGCTCATTGCATTTTTTTTTTTGCTGTACGCGGGCCTCTCACTGTTGTGGCCTCTCCCGTTGCGGAGCACAGGCTCCGGACGCGCAGGCTCAGCGGCCATGGCTCACGGGCCCAGCCGCTCCGCGGCATGGGGGACCTTCCCGGACCGGGGCACGAACCCGTGTCCCCTGCACTGGCAGGCGGACTCCCAACCACTGCGCCACCAGGGAAGCCCTCATTGCATTTTTTATTTCTTACAATGTTCCTTTTTTTTCTTCTCTTGTTTCATGGGGGCAGTATTTTCTGTTCCTTTTCTCAAGATGTCATTTATAGTTTTTGTTGTTGCTGAGGTTTTCTGATGCTTACTGGATTGCTTCTGAGACCTTGGAGTTTATTCCCCGCCCCCTTTTAAACTTTGGTATCTTTCCTGTTGGAAGCTTTCCTCAAATTGTACTCATCTCTAAGGGTGAAATGCTGAAAGGATGACTGGGGCTTCCTGAAAGGATGGTGGGGCTGCTCTTTCAGTCTAGAGTGGCCCCTGGCGAATGCCCCTGCCTCCCACGGCCCCCATCCCATTTCAGTAGCTGGAGCTGTCTCTCTGGGGCTGTTTCTCTTCTGCCGGGAAGCCTCCTCCAGTGCCTGTCTGGGGCGGGGGTGGGGTTTGTTCGGGGTTTTATTTGGTCCTGTTTCCTGCTCGGCGCCTCACTGCTGTCCTTAAGGGTTCTCCACCCAGAGTCTCTTCATCTTCTGTGGAGACTAAACCTTCTGCTGAAGGAAGAGTTGAGTGCCTGGGGGTCTAAGTGGTCCTTTTAAAGACTGACGACCAGACTTGTGTTCTCAGAGGTCCCCACCCCACGAAACGTCTCTGGCCCTTTAGAGGCGAGTCCGCTGTTGCCCATTTGTCTCTTAGAGACATTTGGGCCCTCCTCCTCCGTCTGCCTTCTGTGTCTTGTGGAAGTTCGCTGATAGCTCTCATCCCTCATTGTCTTCTTTGGCCTTTTTTTTTTTTTTTTTTTTTTTTTGCATTACGCGGGCCTCTCACTGTTGTGGCCTCTCCCGCTGCGGAGCACAGGCTCCGGACGCGCAGGCTCAGCGGCCATGGCTCACGGGCGCAGCCGCTCCGCGGCACGCGGGATCTTCCCGGACCGGGGCACGAACCCGCGTCCCCCGCATCGGCAGGCGGACTCTCAAGCACTGCGCCACCAGGGCAGCCCTTCTTTGGCCTTTTGAGTTTTTGCCTAATCTGTTCTTTGACTGTCATTTTATTGGGGTATCATGGGGAGGAGATTTAAATGAATATGTTTAACTTTTCTTGTTCACTGAGCAGGCTGGCCTCTACTTCTGACGTCTGAAATGCTCATACTTACAGAGTTGTCTCGTGACCCGAAGCCTCATTTCAGTTCTGGGGGTGGCAGGCGCCAGTTCCTCAGTCTCGTGGCCCTTTCCCTGTGGCTGGCTACCACCCGTATTCGGCTCAGCCTCCAAAGCTAATTTGTGTCTTAAATTGTAGAAAAGTTGTGCCCACTTTTAGTGTCCCAGAAGAACCCATTTTCCTTAGAGTAGCAGTGTTTTCTGTATCGAAGGCTGTTTTCCCTTTACCTTCTCCAGCACAAACATTCCAGTCTCTCCATTTTGTGTCTCACTGACTTTTTTGCAGATAACCTCAAAACAAGTAAACGAGTCTTAAAGCCCTATATTATTTTTTCTTCTGCTGATAATGTTGTTTTTAATTGGATACCAGGATCCAAATACCAGTGTTGATTGCGTTTAAAAAGCAAACAAAAAAAGTTTCTAAGAAGGCATCCTTTTTATTACTTCACGTGCATCAGTCTAAATTCCAAAGGTGGAATTTGTATTTCTCCCTGAAGCTGAGTAACCGAGATTCAATAAAACCAAGGAAAGCAGGGATTTCTGAGAACAGTTTGTGATCTCTGTGCCTGGTTATTATGATGAAGAACTGAGATGCCTAAGGTAGCCAGGGCTCCAGCTGTGAAAGATTGAGGAACACCTTGAATTATACGCAGAAATAAATTGGTGGTCAGAGTAGATGCAGCAGAACTAGGATAGTGATGGACGACTTCTTTGATCTGTGCCCTCAGGCTACTTTGCAGCTGTGTTGCGTACCTTTAACCGTTTTCCATAAGCCCTGTTTTCAGCTCTTAAATTGTCATCACCCTTCTCTCTCATTTCCTTCCCCCCTTTTTCTTTGTAGAGTTATCACACTATTATAGAGTCCCTTAAAAATTAAGGTTGGAGCTTTGAGGGGTCGGGGAGATGTTAACTGGAAGATGAACATTTTAACATCTTCCTCCTGTCCCTGTGCCTGTCTGCCAAGTAGTTAGTGTTATAAACAACGTGGAAGGTAGCTGCTTTAAGGCACTTGGTGGTTAATCTTTCCTAGCAATTGGATTCTGTTAAAGTGAGGCACATGTATATTTTCTTTTCATCAGTCTGTTCTTAGCTAAGTGTGCAGGTTCATTTTAATTGCTCTTACAAAAAGCTAATACTGAAAAGGGTTCCCATTAGATCTGCCTGGTGGGATCCCTTTTTGCGACCGACCAGTAAGTGGTAGACTCAATAGCATTTGCTTTTGGGAAATAGTGTGTGTATTTGGGCAGTTAGAAAATTAGAGTTTTTTTCTTTTTTTTAAATGGAGAGAAGGAAAAAGAAAAAAAACCCCAAACCCCACAGTTAATTAATCTACCAGAAAATTCAGAGTGGTTACTCTTCACTTTGTTAATAACAGTCTGTTTTCCATTATTTTCAGTTGTAGATGTTTTTATCT